TTTGAAATGAGAAGTCAACTGCCAGTTAATAGACTTTTTGCCGTATGAGTATACGTTGCCCAGGGATCACCACGTGGAGGTAAGTCTATCGCACACCCCAATTAGGTGAGTTTAATAACAGAGACATGTATTGTGACGTGAAAGCAAGAGGGAGAGGAAGAGAGAGAGCAGGTCATTGGAATAGCTCTGGAAGTCCACTTTATAGGCAGTTTTAGTGACGCCTTGGTGGAAAGTGAACAGTATTCTTGGAGTATAGATTGTTGCAAGAATTTACTCTGAGAAATTTACTCCCATTTTGGAAGTAGCTACAAATTCATTTGATGGCCTATATGCAAATCATCATCTTCAGGGGCACAGATCATCCACTTCCATTTGTGTGGGTGGGTGGGTGGGTTCCAGTCAACACGTGTCTTTGAATGAAGCAGGGTTTTTTGAGTTGTTAATGGAAACATGTAGTATGTGTGTGTGTGCGTGTAAGCACCTCCAACGCATCACAATTTAAAATCCTATATTCGGTAGAATTAACTCCAAACACTATTCAAGCTACTTTGAATGTTACTACTCTTAAGCGGGGGGGGGGGGGGGGGGGAGGAGCGATCCTGTTGCTCTCTGTGTTGAACTCACTTTTAAGGCTCTCTTTTTCCCCCCTCCCTCCCTCCCTCCCCCCTTTTTAGACTCCACCGAATTGGCCTCCTAGTCCTCTTCCTACACGACATATCAGATGTGATGTTGGAGTCGGGGAAATTTCTGGTTGCTTTGCGCTCAAAGTACCCGGAGCATTCCAATATCCTTGAATATGTAGCCAATCTCTTCTTCGGCGTCTTTGTTGTTAGCTGGTGAGTTATATTCCCCCTTATTTGTTTGAAGTGATACAACAAAAGCCATGCGATGAGTAGATCCCTATTTTACTCTTGCCTTCTTGTTTAGGTTCTATCTTCGAATTTACCTCTTCCCTACAAAGGTGATCTACGGATCTACATGGGGTGTATATCTCACTCATTTGGACAGAGAGGCTTATTTCTTCCTATTCTTCAATGCAATGCTTGTTGCGCTCTATGTCCTTCATATCTACTGGTCTTACGTGCGTTTTCTATTCCTATTGTTTTGAAATGGTTTGGTGTGTGTGTGTGTGTGTGTGTGTGTGTACCTCACGTGTAACTTCTGAAAGGTCTTTGATGATGATTAGCTTATTTTAATGCTGTTGTGATCCTGGATGTAATGCCGATCTCTGATGATGTCGGACTGACAAGTGGAGGATAGAAAATTTAATTTTTACTCTCAAGGGCGGCTGCCTGTCTAAGTACTTTCCATATCAAAATTATCCCTCACCTTCAAGAATCCAGATACCCAGAGCGATTGCCTTCACAACATTAATTTATTTATATCAAATGGCAGGCGTTCTGATAGTTATCATTAGCCCTTTAGTTGACTTCAGGCTTCACAGAGGGGAGGAGGAACATCAAAGTGGAAAAAAAAGTCGAGAGGGGGGGAACAGAAGAGTGCTTCAAAGACGAAGGTAGAAAAAAGGTGAGGGGAGTACTGTGAAGGTAGTCGAATATAACATACAGTGGGGTGAGGGTAGTTTGAAGTCAGAAGTCAAATGCCAGTTAATAGACTTTTTTTGCCGTATAAGTATACGTTGCCCAGGGTGCACGACGTGGAGGTATGTCTATTGCGCACCCCTTGATAATATTAAAAGTTTTCAAGTAGAGCGAAACCGAAAGTGGACAGTCATTTGGAAAGAGGAGGGGGTTTATTTATGTGACTGTCGCTGTGTTGCATTGTCTTGGAATGCTCTCAAGATGAAAGCCTCAAACTTTACGTAGTGATATTATTATCAAACCCATTTTTAGGGTGATTTTATAAAGCCTCCCATTTCAAACCCTGTGTGTGCGCGTGTGACGATAGGCATTTGGCCATGATGCGGTTGTTGACCACAGCGCTATTGTGAATAGAGTGACGTTCGAATAGTATTTTCAGTGCCATTCTATCGCCTCCCTAGATTGACTATTTGAACGCATGACATGTTGACCCCCTCTCTCTTCTTGGTTGCCTTTCTAGTTCATCGTGGTGATGCTAGTGAAGATAGCAACAGGCCGAATGCCAAAGATCGAGGACGAACGGGAATTTGAATCGGACTCTTCATTATCGCCAGTTAAAGCCAACGGGGTCCACAGCAGCTCCTCTAAAGCACCCGCAACTAACGGTATCCACAAGCACAAAAAGTTACAGTAATTCCTCTCAGGGGCACCAGCAGTATGTCCCCCATTCCCACTCCACTTCAAAGCTATCACTTTTTAACCCCCCCCCCCGCCTCCCCCCTCCTCTCTCCCCTTTTTTCCTTAGCTTTTGTTTTCTTTTGCCAACTCAGACTGATTTTTGTGTAATTATGACCTACCTCTCCCCTTCTTTCTCTAACAAATCGGACCAGGCTTGTGAGTAGTAGTGACCCTTCTCTTTGCGCGCCCAGGTATCATGTGGAGAGCGAAGTGGTGTCGAGGTGATGAGAAGGTGGGGAGGGTGAGGAGGGGGGGGGGAGAAATGAGAATGATTTTATTTTTGTTTGATATTCACTCCCACACTCTCAGCTCTGTACCAAATCTGTTCTGTCTTATTTTCGCTCACACCCCCCCCCCCCCCCCCCCCCCCACCTCTGCCTATCCTCCTCTGTATCTTTCGATATCTCTTGTTTTTACTGGTCGCCTTTTTTCCTAAGGAAGGGTGTTTTGTGATAAATTTATTCCACTATTTTGAATTGCTTACGCACTTATGCACTTTTGTCATGAGAAGTGGTTGGCACGGGCGAGGTGTCCTAAAGGCTGGAAAAATTTTAAAAAGATTTGCTAAAATATGGCGCCACTTAACTAAGGTAAGGTGGAAGGAGTTGGCAATCGCTCTTATATGGGAAACTCCTGTCACACCTCTTGTTGACTAGACCTAATCGGCACTCGATTAGATGAATAAAAAATGAACCAAGATTTCGCCTCCTCGGGTGGTCTAAGAGGCGCGCGTTAGTTTGATTCCAAGTGTGCGCACTAACTAACTATCTGGGCTCGAGAAAAAGACTATTCGGTTAACGCTGTTGATGAGACATACTTCGGGGATATCTAATTTCAGTCCTTGCCTGCGCTGCAGGAGGATAAACGGAGCTGCTTGAGGGCATACCTCCCTTAGGAAAGACTGATCGGGCTCCCCATTGGAACCTTAATCGAATCTATAGAGAATCCGGCTTTTGGTAATTTTTATAAGTTCATCATTTGTAAGTTCCGTGTGCAACTGCTTTAGGGGAAGAGAGAGGTGGTATATAGTAGTCCAGCGGATACTATGGATCGGTCAATTGGAGAATGACAGCAAAATGATAGTTGAGAAAGTTATCCTGCCATTACCTCCTCCACTTGATGAATGATGGTCCGAATAATACTCCATTTCACTATCGCATTTCGACCTGAATTCATAGCTGTTCTCCAACAGGTTGACTTCCTCCCAAACACCCTCTCTCGGAGTAATAAAATGATCATCCTCGTCACCACAGCTTCCTCAATTCGTGGCGGGGGGTTGAGGTATTCACACTGTGAAAGCAAACCAACCCTCATTTTTAATTTCACTATTCAGTGTAATTGAGCTAATGGACACTGTCCTGAAGAATTTGATAATATCAACGTGGAGGTCTTGGACTTGTGTATGTCAGAAGGTGAGCTGTCGAACCATTGAAGTGTCGTAACTTAGTTCAATGGAAGAATTGGTGACATCACACGACCATTTCAAGCTATATCTTAATCATCTGGCGATAAACCAGCGTACGGTAACACCGATTCCTATTATGCCTAGTAAATGCCATTTTAATGCTCTTCCGACTAAATCTCTTTCATTATTTCTAATAAGATGAGATGGGTTTAAAATATGTCCTCTTTTACTTATAGGTACTCTCGATAATTTAAAGACAGTCATGACTCAAGGGAAGCTCCTCTCAACACTGGGACGAGCATACACCACTAACTAGAACTAGCCAACGAGTGACACATACGGTTAACGCTTTCTATTGAGGTGCGTGTATAAGACCACTAAATAGCCAGTCTCAAAGTTAGAAGTTGGACAGGAGACAATTTGAAACTGTCTAGAGTTATCTTTATTTATTAATCTTCAATAATTCAAGTTTTGAAGACCAGAGATGGGCAAACAAGCATTTACCATTTGTTTCTGTGTGGGTGACATTTCGGCAGATCTAGAGACACTCGATCAAGCAGATCTAGAGACACTAGAATTTCTGGTACATTTAGAGGATGATGGTGGTGGTGGCGGCGGCGGCGGCGGTGGTGGTGGTGGTGACTCACACACACACACATTCGAATCAGAGGCAAAACCCACAATTATTTTGCATCATCAAATACGTGAATATTTCAAATTCAAAACACAGGTCAAAAATAAGATAGGCAGGCTGAAAGCATAACACACACACACACACACACTGGTCTCTTCTTCTGAATACATACAAGGCGATGGGAAATCTCACGTTTTTCTTAATGCACAAAAAAAGAAGAAGGAGAAGGAGAGGCAGTAGACAGATCTTCAAGAGGTCGGTATATCTTCGAGGATTCGATGGATAAATCCAGTTATCCGCCGATAGACATCATCTTCTTGACTCTTTGGTTTACAGATACCAGCATGGTCTGTGTCCACTAGAACCACTTCTGAAAACTCCGTGTCTAAAAAAAGGGGAAATTGGCACATGATAAAAAACCCCTAACTTCCAAAGCATTCAAAACAGCAAGATTATAGAACAGCCCTAGAGAAAAATTTGAATTCCGCCATCCTTTCTATTGTCAGACTTAAGTATTTCTGTCCATGGCGTGGGATTTTTATGTTTATCTCCATAAGTTAGCTTCGTGTCCAAAGCTTAACCTGTGGGGCTGAACCCAATTTCGGCGCCATATCGAAGACAACGCGATTTTCACTCTCTTCGTGTGGGGAGCACAGTTGCATAGTCAAATTCAACCTTCCTGCTAGGGGTGCGTGATAGACTTAACTCCACGTAGAGCACTCTGGGCAACGTTTATTCATACGGCAAAAGTCTAAACTGGCAGTTGACTTCTGACTCCAAACTGCCATGATCCCACTGTATGCCATATTAGAATAATTTCACAGTATTCACCTCACCTTTTTTCTACCTTTTTGACTGTCTGTCTCTTTTACGTCTGTGAATCATTATTCTGTCCCCCTCTCGACTTTTTACCACTTGGATGTTCATCTTCCTTTCTGTGAAGCCCGAAGTCAACTAAAGGGCTAATGATACCTATCATAACGCCTGCCATCTGAAATAAACCTTCCTACTAATTACCAAATTGTCAGGAGAGGGTAGAGGGTATCGTAATCGACTGTGTGCTCAGGTACGACTGCACTTAGATTGTATTTTTTTCAATAAAGAGAGAAAGAGATGCTACAGTAGTAAGTGCGCTCTTCTCCTGATTGGGATAAATTTAAGCAAAGGAATGGTTGAGAGCACAGTAGTTGAACTAGCCTAGTGTGCTAGAGATGGTAAGAAATGGTATGATTTAGGGGTCTCCCCATTGGAAAAAAAAATAGGAAGTCTTTTTAATCAATCCCTCTTCTCTTAGCGCAAGACAATAAGACAGAAACAAAGAGCTGTAAGTGCTTGTAAAGAGAAGAAGAGAATAGGGGACATTTGATTTTAAGCTAACTTAATCAATTCAAGAAAAAAACAATTAGTGATGAAAAGCAGTCAAAACGCTCTACTATTCGGGAATAACCAATTCCCCAAGGGACCCAGCTTCCACCCCCCGCCCTCCAATAACAACAATATTATGAAACAAATGGTGCAAATCAATAGCCTGGTCAAAAAATTGACTTCAGTACTTGAACTCAGTCTTACCTTTCAGATCAAAGTCGACTGTAGCATAATGATATCAAGGAAATAAACATTCAAACAGTCAACACAACACCAATAAGGCACCTTGGCCTGTTTAAATCAAATAAGTCCTACTAAGCACACGAGAACATAAAATGTAGAGGACCAAATGGCTTAAAAATTCCTTTGAAATTCGAAAAAAAACTTGTTTAGAATGAGGTCGTTATCTTTAAATATATACCCCCCCCCCCAAAAAAAAGCATTTCAATCTGAGTGTATTTACAACTGAAAGCGTTGCAAGAATCCGAAACGAATGATTCGAAATAAAGCCTTTCGTCTTTAAAATCATTGCTGGCTTTTTTACAATCTCAATGAGTCATAAAGGGCAGTTTTTTATTCGAGTGTGGAGTTCACACACACACACACACCAGCAAAACAGCTTGCCACCCACATTAGGCGTGTGCACAAATTGACACTAGAGATAATAATCTACGTGGGTTATCATGTATCACCAATTCCCAGCTCTTCCGCGTGCTCTAAGGCTGAAATAATTTCCGACAAGTTGCATAAGAGATGAAACAACTATGGCTCTATTGCATGCTCGTTCACTCGTCGAGGAGCAAATTATTATATACCCCCCACCTCCTTGACGAGGCTAACATATTATTTTGTTAGTTTTTTCTTTCACATGTTAAAAATTTAGGAAATTATAAATTGCACAATTATCCCGTGGCAAACTGAATGTTGTTCAAGAAAGCTCATAATACACACTTAGATTTGTCTTCACGTTACTGCGATTTTTTTTTGGGAGAGGGGGGATATTTTGTGGTCGCTAGCTGGACTTGTATTACACTCTCTTATGCAAGTAAATTAATTTGATTTCAGTTTTAACTCGCCTTTTCTGGAGGTCTGAGATACTTTTTCTCCTCACATATTGAAAATGACTTATAGGGACGGTATACATTCCTGCGAGATGTATTATAACAATAGACAGGGACAAGTAGAGTTCATGTTGGAAGTTGTAATTTCATTTCAAATAGCAGGCGTTTTGATGATTATCAATAGCCCTTTAGCTGACTTCGGGCTTCACAGAGAGGAGGAGGAGGAGGAACATCAAAGTGCAAAAAAGTCGAGAGGTGGAAGGGACAGAAGATTGATTCACAGATGTAAAAGAGACAGACAGACAAAAAGGTAGCGAAAAAGGTAAGATGAATGCTGTGAAAGTGGTCGAATACGACATAGAGTGGGGTGATGGTAGTTTGAAGTCAAAAGTCA